TCACTAACAATTTATTTATAAACTTATTTATAAATTTATATACACATACACACACAAGGGGTCCTCAAAAGTTAATAGAAAATGCGTATCTTGGCAAAAACTATGTATGGATTTCAAATGTTTTGCACCAAAATAAACATCTTTTAATTCTGTTTTTTTTCTTCTTCTGTCTGTGTGTGTGTACTCATATATACACTATTTGCTATGTTGACAAAGAAACATTGCTAAAATTTCAGGTTGGTTCAACAGCCCTCTCTAAATGTGTGGGATCCTCAGCACAGTGGGCTGGCCGCAGCGTGCTGGCGGCAGCCATTGGAGGGTGAACCAATGGCAAAAGGAAGACCTTTCTCTCTGTCTCTCTCTCTCTCACTGTCCCTCTGCCTGTCAAAAAAAAATGTGTGGGATCCTTATCTCTGCACCCCACTTCTTCCTCACAGTTGGGGCTTCTGGATATCTCCAAGCAGTTTGGTTGTCCCTCAACTTCTCAGTTGCTCAGACCATACTGCTTATCAGGAGTGTGAACTTGAGGCTGGTTGTTCAGTAGTCATGGCTCCTTCCTGCTGTTTGATTTCAGGTTTCCCTAACTGCCAGCCTCATATTCTATGACATACTTCAGAAATAGGGTTAAGGTTCATGTTTGTTAACTTGACTGTTTCCTCTGTACACTTCAGAGTCTTACCTCTTGTGAGTGCCTACAGCATGAGCTGGATACCCGCTCTGACCTGGGGCTTAGTTGGTGACTGATGGGGGAGCGCAGAGCTGTAGACAGGTAGCAGCAGGAAAGTCTAAGATTTGCCTTCCAAGGTGATATGATGATTTTGCATTTTTTTGATCTTTAAAAGAGTCCAAATAATACCTCACCAGAAGGCAAATTTGAGGGTTGACTTCTTTTTCTGGATTCTCCTGCGTAAGAGAAATAGTGACAGAACAATAAGAAGGACTGCACCGCGGCTCAATAGGCTAATCCTCCGCCTGCAGTGCCGGCACACCGGGTTCTAGTCCCGGTCAGGGTGCCGGATTCTGTCCCGGTTTCCCCTCTTCCAGGCCAGCTCTCTGCTGTGGCCCGGGAAGGCAGTGGAGGATGGCCCAGGTCCTTGGGCCCTGCACCCGCATGGGAGACCAGGAGAAGCACCTGGCTCCTGGCTTCGGATCAGCGCGATGTGCTGGCCGCTGCAGCCATTGGAGGGTGAACCAATGGCAAAAGGAAGACCTTTCTCTCTCTTTCTCTCTCTCTCACTGTCCACTCTGCCTGTCAAAAAAAAAAAAAAAAAAAAAAAAAAAAAAAAAAAAACAGGAGAAGCAGCCTTTTTAGCAGTAGATGTGAGTGGTATGTTGTTAAACTTTCTAAAATAAGAATGTAATTTTTCAACATTTCTTTCCTTGCATCTATAGATTTCTCTGCAGTGATTTTACAAACAAAAAAATGTAACTATACCATAATCCATCTTTTTATTTTCTGTTGTACATTCATGCCAGACTTTTAAAAAGTTTTTGGTCGGTATTTTCCAAATGATGCTTTTTGTCCTAATTTGGGGCAAGGTTACTCTTAGACACTTGTGCTAGATAGAACCATCAGTTTTGCCTTATAGAGTTAGATTGTTGTCAGTACAGAGCATAACCAAGTCCTATCTATTCATCTCTGCTTGTTCTAAAGAAGCATTCCCTGAAATCACATCAACAAATCTTATCTTTACTAATATAAGTGAATACCAAGGCATGGGAATCATATTATTGGACAGATATGGCATTTATAATCCCAGCATGGAAAATGGTATTTTATGGATGTTTATTTCTATTATTTATTATTCTCGGAAAAATCATGAAGTGACTTATGTCTATACAGACAGTTATCTAAAGTATATTTAGATAGTATTACTTTTCATTTGGATCCACTGTTGATATTCACATGGCAGATGCAAAATCACTTATTCACTATGTAACCTCACAGCGAGCCAAACTAAATCCGGGGCACAGCTTGTTTGCCCACCAGTTTGCACATGAAATGTAAATCATTTTAATATTTAAAGAATTAATGTGGCTCACTGAGATTTCTTTGAAAGGGTTGAGGGAAGAGCAATATGCATCTTATAAGAAGTATGCAGAGGGGCTGGTGCTGTGGCATAGCAGGTAAAGCTGCCAACTTGCAGTGCCATCATCCCATATGGGCGCCGGTTCGAGTCGCGACAACTCCATTTTTGATCCAGCTCTCTGTTTTTGCCTGGAAAAGCAGTAGAAGATGGCCCAAGTCTTTGGGTGCCTGTACCCACGTGGGAGACCTGGAAGAAGCTTCTGGCTTCGGATTGGCACAGCTCCGACCATTGCAGCCAATTGGGGAGTGAACCAGCAGATGGAAGACTCTCTCTCTCTCTCTTTCTCTCTCTCTGCCTTTCCTTCTCTCTCTGTGTAACTCTTTCAAATAATAAGTAAATCTTTTAAAAAAAAAGCATGCACAAAGTTTATTCTCTGTCTGCCTCTAACTTCCTTTCCCCCCAAGCAGTATCCAAACACTCTGTAAACCACCACTGATTCTTGAAAACAAAATGTCCCAACATATTTTTTTTACTTTCTCACAATTATTTAATTGTCTTCCTAATTAATTCCACAGTCTGAAATAAATTATTGACTTACCAGACTGTCTTGTTTTCTGTGACAGCCTCAGCAGTAAACAGAGCATTAACAATTCATGACGTGCAGGACATGCTTGTGTTTTCTATGTGCTAATTTGGTAGCACGTTAGAGACATCCTTGGACTCTTCTTCCTGTCGACTCATTTTGGAAGAAGGTGACAGACCGCTGAGCCCTATATATTTGAATAAACAGGTACTTAAAAGAAAAAATAAAGTTCTATTTTGCCAGATGCAACTACTACTGCAGAGATAATTCATTGGAAGTTTTCTTTTGTCCTTTTCTTGTTCGTTTTTATTTTCTGTTTTATATAAACAGCAATATTTAACCCATATTCTCTGACATTCTTGGTCTGGGTTACTTATAGATACTCAGTGAGTGCCTTGTGACAAGGTTCAAACTGATTTTCTATGAAAGAAATCTAATCTATGCCATAGAATGGACCAGGTTGTTCTGATACAATGGATCTTGTGACACAGCCTTGAAAGGTGGGTTGGTCTTTGCTAAAACACAAAATTGCAGATGGAAGGCAGAATATCAACACAGGTACAATCGAGGAAATCACTGATGGAATGGGAGGTGGTGAGGAGTGAAATAAAATCCTACTGGAGGTTGTTCAGTATGGAACATAGGTACAGGAGAGATTGGTAGGTAAGATACCTTATCTTGTGAGGGAATCAAAATGCCCTAAGATTTGAACTGAGGCATAGGGGCTAGTGAATCATTTTTGGATCCAAAGCAGGGGAGTAATCATCAGAAATAGCACTTGTCTAATGCATATGGGTTGAATTAGAAGAAGCAAAGGGGAAATGACAAACAGATGATGTTGCCCAAACTATGATGTGAGGACGTTTGATGGGGTCAAGAGTAGAAAGAAAGCACATTATGAAGTTACTTAGAAAGTGTATCAGGGGCTGGTGTAGCATAGGGGGTAAAGCCATTGCCAGCAATGCATCCCAGCTGCTCCACTTCTGATTCATTTCTCTGTAGATGGTTTGAGAACACCAGCAGAAGATGGGCTGCTGCTATTCACATGGTAGACCTGGGGGAAACTCCTGGCTCTTGGTCTCAGCCTGGCCCAGACTCAGCCACTGTGGCCATCTTGGGAGTGAACCAGTGAATGGATGATTCTTTCTTACTTTCTCTCCTCCAACAGTGCTTAACTATGAGAAAGACAAGCCCAGTGCTAAAAAAAAGAAACCATTTTTTAATTGTAAGTCTGATGACCTTGATGGGAATAAACATTGGAGACCTGGGGTTAGTTTGTTTCTCTCTCCTCTATCTCTCTTCACTATGACCACACTCCTAAGCCCTAATCAAAATAAACTTAACTAGAAAGGTTTTGGCAAATAACCAAATATAGGATGAAGTATGTAAGGGAAGAAAGGATGGAAAAAAGTTATTATATACCATTTTGTGTAGAGGGCAAAACAAAGTAATAGAAATGACAATGATGGTGGAGTAATACAATTATATATTTGGACCCCACATGTGGCATTTATTAGACCTGTAGTGTTAGAAAATGTATTTTCATTCCACGTACAGTATGGAGAAAATCTTCTCTCTCCCTCTCTCCCTCTCCCTCTCAGACTAAATGAGCTAAAAGAGTTGGATCAGAGTGGTAAGAATTCCATAAATGAGGGCTGCCTTTGTCACACAGTCATATTATATTGTATAGATTCTCCTTCAGCATTCCTTGTCTTGACTTTGGTCATGGACCATGTCTCTAGCATGATCTGTCCCTGAGCAAGAGACTACTCTCATACATATCCCCACCCCCAGGAGTTAGCACAAAACCTAGTAAAATATGCATAATATTTATTAAGTGAATAAACAAATTAATGAATCAACTCTTGCTCTTGGTGGAGTGGCGCTTGCATTTCTACTGCTATATTTGAGAGACTGTATGCAGAAGGCCTCTTTACTCAGAATTGAACACTGGTCATCACATTTCCCAGCCTGTATCACAGGGCTGGGGCAGGGGCTAATGGAAGAAATGCTGATTATGTGAAGGGCCTGGAGGTAACAAGAGGGTGGGCCAGAAAAGACAGATCAGTTCCATGCATCTCTTATGCCTGCTCTGAGCTGGAGACTCTCATTGAGAAATTCTTAACTGTGGCAGAGGAATAGTTAAGTTTTTGACTCCGCAGGAGATGTCTCAATATAGAACCATTGGAAATAGGAGCGATGTGGAGATGAAAAGTTTTAATTGTAAGGGCTCATGTTATTAGAGCAGTCAAGTGGAGGAGCAATGAGGAGCTGCATAAAATAAGTAGAATATCATGTAAATTGATCTGAAATTACTGGTAGTTACACTATCTCCAACGAAATGATTCACACTAATTCAAAGAAATGTTTCTTTCCTCTATTAACAGTTTTAGTGCCCTGAGCAGCAGGAAAGTGATGGAAACTGAAGAAGAGACTAGGCCTTGCACATTCCCTGCCTCTGGAAAGGGCACACCTGCCACACAGCTCTTTAAAGACTGGACTGCCATTGGGAAAGAAATCTGGCTGGGGCCTGGCCAGGTAATCTGTCTTCATTGTCCCTCCTCCTCTTAGCCTCTAGAGTGGCTCAGTATGGTTGGAATGCAGTGCTCATGTCCATTTGTTTTGTTAAATGAAGTCAGCAACTAGTTGCAAGGGTGGGCTTATTGACTGATAAGTCTTAACTATTGTTCTGTTCTAGTGAGTTTGTGTGTAAGCATGTCCACATGTGTACTGTGTTATGGGCAACAACCAAATTATTTTTCAGTTCTCTACAGTAGCTATTAGATACTCAGTGTGCTCTTGTTCTTCCAAAAACTGAATCAGCATGGGCTACTGAGCTAATAGGAAATGGAAGAACTTAGATTCCTAATACTTTTTTATTTCTTTTTTTTTTTTATTTTCTCATAAGCAGTTAAGCCGTTCATGTTGGCCAAAGACAGAAGCCTAGGATTTCTTCCTCTATCACCCTTCCCTGAATCTTAGTTTCCATGTCTATATGGAAAGTCACATTTACAGACAGAGAATCGGGCAAAGGTCCATAAATAGAAAGTGACTGTATGAAATCACATGCAGAATTTACAATCTTATTTTTATGCGTATCTCTGTATTTGATTTATTCTAGGAATTTTGATAATCATGCTCTTAAATCATTTCTAAAACTGTCAGTAATTTGCATCATGGTTGGGCCAGGATATTGCAAAACTGAATATTCATACAAGTGCAAATCATTTATTTCTGCTTCTCTATAGACCTGGAGCAAATACACTTTGATTTAAATTTTCATCAGTAGAGACACCAGGTAGCCTCTCTTGCTCATTTACAAAAGAGCTACCTACTACACTGTGTTCCAATTTATAGTCTGAAATATGTTTAACACATTTTACAAAATGTTTCCTAATGTCCTTCTGAAGATATGACTCTTCATAAGGTTTAAAATAGTTTCATTACAACCACTTAATTTGCATTTATTAAGTTTTTTTTCTAAGTCCAGTTCTTGTTTTGCTGCTGCCAGGCTACTGTAGAAACATTAGAGGGGCCTGTGATGTGGCATAGCAGGTAAAGCCTCTGCATGGGGTGCTGGCTTCCCATATGATTCCCATTGGAATCCTAGATGCTCCACTTCAGATCCAGCTCCCTGCCAGGGTGATTAGAAAAAACAACAGAAGATGACTCAAGTACTTGGGTCCCTGTGTGGGAGACAAAGATGGATTTCCAAGCTCTTGGCTTCCGCTTGGCCCAGCCCTGGCCGTTGTAGCCATTTGGGGAGTAAACCAGAGGATGGAAAGTCTCTGTCTCTCAGTAACTCTGCCTTTCAAATAAATAAGTATATCTTTTTTTAAGAAAAAAATTAGAGATTTTCTGATGACCAAGAGGCCAAAATTCACACGTGTTGACTTTGTTATCCTAACCAGAGTGCATCTTGTTATCTGTGCCACACGATGTCCTAGAATGGAAAATGACATGTAGTAGAGTAGCTGCATAAACCTATAAAAATCATGGGGTGAACTGGTGAAAAATGATGTGCATAGCCTTGCACCAAAAATGGTTGCACAGGCTGTGTATTGCCCATTTTTTGCCAGTATCATTCAAAAAGTAACAAAGTTTCTTTAACTTGCTTGATTGTACACCATGGCTCTGATTACAAAAAAAAAAAAAAAGTAACCAAAGGGAACATTTAAAAACATAACATTAGGGAATAGCTTGAACTGTAGGCTCTCTGAGTTCACACCTCTCCAGTTTGAAGCCCTGTGTCCTTGTGATAATTTCTAACCTTCTCTAAATCTTAATTTCCTGTCCCCAAAACAGAAGATTTACAAAACAGTTCCCCCGTCACTTAATTGATATAAGATTGGAGGAATATAATAGTGATAAAATATTTAGCACATTACTGATAGGTGTAAGTAAGTTTCAGTTTTCATTATTGCCTTTAAAAAAAAAAGTTAAAACAGAAAAATCACTCCAGTTGCCAGACTGGCATGTAAATAGAAGCTTGGAAGTTGCTACTCACTCCTAAACAGAAATGAAAAGTTGGACAAACTGTAAATCAATAACTTTTCTTAAATCCTTCAGAGAAGTGAGAATGCAGAACACAATTCATAATCAGAGAGCCGGGTAAATCACAACTCGCTGGCGCGGAACCCAGGAGCAGCAAACTCCACTGGCAGCACAGCCAGGGTAGGAAGACCCGGACTGTACCTGACAAATTGCTGGAGGCGCGTGGGCAAGTCTGAGAGTTGGCGCCTCCAGGGGATGCAGTCATGGGGTGTCCCCACATGTTGGTGGGTTTACCTCTAGAAGTTCACTAGGTCCTCACATTGAACACTGCAGAAATGCCACCTCATGCTTCTGGAAAGGGGTGAGGAGAGGAACTATTTTGAAATATCGTGTTATATTCTGTTCTTTTTTTTTTTTTTTTTTTTTAATTTTTTTGACAGGCAGAGCGGACAGTGAGAGAGAGACAGAGAGAAAGGTCTTTGCCGTTGGTTCACCCTCCAATGGCCACCACAGCCGGCACACAGCGCCTATCCGAAGGCAGGAGCCAGGTGCTTCTCCTGGTCTCCCATGTGGGTGCAGGGCCCAAGCACTTGGGCCATCCTCCACTGCACTCCCGGGCCACAGCAGAGAGCTGCCTGGAAGAGGGGCAACTGGGACAGAATTTGGCGCCCGACCAGGACTAGAACCCGGTATGCTGGTGCCACAAGGCTGAGGATTAGTCTATTGAGCCACGGCGCTGGCCATATATTCTGTTCTAATTAGCATGGTTTGCCTTCAGGACAAACTATTTTGCCAGAGCTTAACTGACCTAGGTCAAATACCCAACTCCAGGTGGCTCTTGCTTTCCACGCAGAGAAAGAGAAATTCTCAATCCAGTCCACTCTAGACACCCTGTCCCGCCTAAGGGGGCAGGGGAATGGAGAAGCAGGTGTGAAGGTCGCAATCCAGAGGCACAGGGCCAGTGAAAGACTGAGATGGAATACAAGACTGGAGAATAGCCCTGGCCACCACCTAGAATATTACAGAAAGTTTTAGTACATCACATCTGGCTTTCTTTTTTAAAAGATTATTCAAGATATACAAATTTCATGTATTTCATATATACAGATCTGGGAACATAGTTATTTTCCCCACCCTACCCTCCCTGCCACCCATGCTCTCACTCTTCATCCTCCCTCTTGTATTCACACTTAATTTTTACAAAGAAAGATCTACTTTCAGTTTACTTTATACTCTTAAGATTAACCCTACACTAAGTAAAGAGTTTAACAAATGGTATGAAGAAAAAGGCACTGTTCCTCAACAGTAGAGACAAGGGCTATAAGCAATCATTGAATCTCAAAATGTCAATTTCACCCTTATACATTACAGTTTAGGTTTCAATACAAAACTCTAAGATGTACTGAAATAGTAAGAAGCACTGTTTGAAGAAACAGAGACAGCATCAAACCCAGATTCATAGATGGCAGGAATGCTGGAAATATTAGGCTGGGAATTTGAAATAACCGTGATTAATATGCTAAGGGTTCTAACAGATATGAAGAACAGATGGGCAATGGAAGCAGAGGGATAGAAATTCTCAATAAGAGCCAAAATGATATTCCAGAGATCAACAATGTAACAGAAATGCAAACTGCTTCTGAAGAACTTTGTAGACTGGCCATGGCAGAGTATAGATTCTCTGACCTGAAGAGTAGCTCAATAGAAGATTTCCAAACCGAAAACTGAAGAGAAAAAATATGAAAAACAAACCCCGAACAGCACAGAACCGTCCAAGAGTTATACAGAACTCAAGGAGGTCTTCCATGCATGCGGTAAGAGCAGCAGAAAGGGAAGAAACAGAACAAAGGAACAGAAGAAATATTTGAAATCATGGCTAAGGATTTCCCCCTCCAAATTAATGTAGGAGGACAAGCTATGGATCCAGAAAGCACAGAGAATACTGGATAAATCATTTTCTTATTACAGAAAATTAAAAAAATGAAGAAAAAATCCTGAAAATAGGTAGTGGGGAAAAATGTCCTTCCCCATTGAGGAATAAAGGTAAGAATTACAGTTGACTTCTCAGAAATCATGGGAGCAGGATGAGAATAAAGTGTAATATTTAAAGTAATGCAAGAAAGATCTATCACCAACCTAGAATTCTGTCCCTTGAGAAATTATCCTTTAAAAGGAAAGGAGGAAGGAGGACATTTGGCCTAACAGTTAACACACTGGTTAAGATACCCATTTCTCTCATTGGAGTGCTTGGGTTCACTGCCTGGCTCTGGTTCTTGATTCTGATTTCCTGTTAATGCAGACCCTAGAAAGCAGCAGGTGATAGCTTAAGCAGTTGCATGTCTGCCACCCATGTGGTGGACCTGTCCACATTCAAGGATTGGAAGAATTAATATTATTACAATGTCCATACTACCAAAAGTGATGTAGAGATTCAATGTGATCCCAATCAAAATACCAACAATATTCTTCTCAAATCTAGGAAAAAATATGCTAAAATTTGTATGGAAACTGAAAAGACCCCGAATAGCTAAAACAATCTTAACAAAAACAAAGCTGGCAACATCACAATACCAGGTTTCAAGACATACTACAGGGCAGTTATAATCAAAACAGCCTGGTACTGGCACAAAAACAGACATATAGAAACATATAGACTAATGGGAGAGAATAGGAATCCAGAAATCAGTCGAACATCTACAACCAACAAATCTTTGGCAAAGGAGCTAAAATCAATCCCTGGAGAAAGGATAATCTCTTTAACACATGGTGCTGGTAAAATTGGATCTCCACATGCAGAAGTATGAAGCATGATTCCTACTTTATACTTTATATAAAAATCAACTCAAAATGGATCAAGGTTCTAAATCTATGACCTGATACCATCAAATTACTAGAGGAGAACATTGGGGAAATGCTGCAAGACACTGGCATAGCTAAAAGCTTCTTGGGAAAGACTCCAAAATCACAGGCAATGAAAGCCAAAATATACAAACAGGATTATATCAAGCTGAGAAACTCCTGCACCACAAAGAAACCGCTCAGCAAAGTGAAGAATTGGAGAAAATGTTTGCAAACTATGAAACTGATAAAGGATTAATATCCAGAATCTATAAAAGCTCAAGAATCTCAGCAATAACACAAAACACAATCCAGGTAAGAAATGGGCAAAGGACTTGAACAGGCATTTTTGAAGAGATAAGTTCCAATGTCCAACAGACATATGAAAAAATACTCAGAATCAATAGCCATCAGGGAAATGCAAATCCAAACCACAATGATGCTTCCCTTTACCCCAGTTAAAATGGCTGTTATAGAGAAATCAAGAAACAATAAATGCTGGTGAGGATGTGGGAAGAAGGTACCCTTATGCATTGTTGGTGGGAATATAAACTAGTACAGCCGTTGTAGAAGACAGTATGTAGATACCTCAGGAATCTGAAAATAGAATAAAATATTACATGAAATTTGTTTACCTTAAATAAAAAAAAAGCTTGGTAAATTAGCAATACAGGTAGGCAGGGAGACTTCCTCAGCTTGATAACGAATATTTATATAAAACTTACAGCTAATCTAATGCTTATGGTAGCTTTTACACTAAGATCAGAAAAAGGCAAGGCTGTTCCCATTTACCATTGTTTTTCAGTATTGTATCAGAGGTTCTAAATAATATGGGAAGAAAGAAAATGAAATAAAAGATGTTCAGACTGTGAAAGCAAAAAAATAATGCTGTCTGTTCACAGATAATATGTTTGAATATATAGAAAATCTGAAACAGCACAAACCTCTGTGGACTAACAAGTAATCAAGCAACATTGCCGGTCACAAAGTTGATACAGAAAGGTGAATTTTTTCCTATTTCCTAGCAATGAACAAATGGAAATTAAAATTAAAAAACACAATCCCATTTAAATTGTCATTTCAAAAAAATAGTGTTTTAAATGGTAAGTATAGCAAAATACACACAAGATTCATATCAGGAAATCTATATAGCCTTCTGATGAGAGAAATCTAAGAAGATTTAAATATTAATAGGAAATAGGGGTGATTTTACTTGTTTCTTATTTGTGTGCCTTTCATTTCTTCTTGTTGTCTCATTGATCTTTCTAGTATATCTAGAACTATACTGAATTGAAGTAGTCAGAGTGTACATTCTTATCTTGTACATTCTTATCTTAGAAGGAAAGCTTTCAGTTTGTCTGCACTGATAATGATGTCAGTTGTAGGTTTTTCATAAAAGGTGTTTATTTTGTTGCAGAAATTAATGTCTATATCTAAATTGTTGAGAGGATTTAACAAAAAATTAAATTTTGTTAAATGCTTTTTGAACATCTCCTGTGATGATCAGGAATTTTATCTTTCATTTTGTTAATGTGATATATCACACTGATTGATTTGCTTATGTTAAGCAACCTTAATTCTCAAGGATAAAGAGAAATAAAGAATATACAGAAATGAAAATATTGCATGATTTCACTTGTTCAAAACAGTTGAATATAAAGAAACACTTAGTAGAGTGGGGAGAAAAGGAAAAAAGAGGTCTAGGTTAAAATGTGCAAAGTCGCACTTACGTAGGGCAAATAAGTTTAAATCATAGCATGAGAATGCTAGCTGATGATATTTTATTGGATAGTGTGTATTTGTATTTTTTAGTTGATGTTTCCATACACACAGAAAAGGAAGCCATGTGATATAACAGAGATTTTTGTTTTCTTGAATGTAGTAGACATTTCACTATAAATAGGTATAAAAAATTTTGTGTACCTTAAATAGACTTTGTAAATAGAGATAAGAAAGACTTAAATAAATGGAAATGCATTCTATGTTCATGGAATGAAATATTAAGATATTTGCAAGATGTAGTTCTTCCCGATTTGAACTACAGATTCAAAGAAATCCCAATGGAAATACAACAGAGCTATTTTTTTAAGATTTATTTATTTTACTTGAAAGTCACAGTTACACAGAGAAAAAAGAAGAGACAGAGAGAGGCAGAGTTGGTCACAGTGGCCGGAGCTGCACCAATCCAAAACCAGGAGCCAGGAGCTTCTTCTGGATCTCCCACACATGTGCAGGGGCCCAAGGACTTGTGCCATCTTCTGCTGCTTTCCCAGGCCACAGTAGAGGCCTGGATTTGAAGTGGAGCAGCTGGGACTCAAACCGGTGCCCATATGGTTTGCTGGCACTGCAGGTGGCAGCTTTACCCACTACGCAACAGCACCAGCCCCCAGCAAAGCTATTTTATGGCTGCTCTAAAGTTTGTATGGAGTGGCAAAAACTCCACAATAGCCAACACAATATTCAAGGAAAAGAATGAAGTGTAAGAACTGACATTGTTAAATTTAAGACTTGTAGTGAAGACAGTGCAGTATTTGTGAAAGAATAGACAAGGTACAGAACAGCGAGCACCGAAAGAAATGCACACACATAGTCATGGTTCAGTAATCTTTGACAAAGAACAAAGACAGAACATGAGAACACATAGCATTTTCAACAAATGGTGCTGGGAAACTGGATATCCCATGCCAAAAACAGGGGAATGTAAACACAAACATTACACCCCAACAACAGGTCAGTCAACATGCAGCACAGACCTGAACATAAACCAAACATCTTTAAGTTATTAGCGATAACACAGGAGAAAGTCTAAATGACCTTGGGTTTGTTGAAGACTTTTTAGATAAACATAGAGAGCATAATCCATTAAAGAAGGAATGATGAGCTGAGATTAGTTAAAATTAAAAATACCAGCTCTGTAAAAGACACTGTTGGGAGAATAAAAAGACAAGCTATAGACTGGGAGAAAATATTTCAAAAGACATATCTGATAATGGGCTTCTATACAAAAACACAAAGAACTCTTAAAATTCAACAATTAGAAGGCAAATAACCCGATCAAAAATTGGGCCAAAGATTTTTTTGTTTAGATTTATTATTTTATTTTAATTTTTAAGCAAAATATTATGGTTAAACCAAATACAAAGCATTTTGAAAGATTAATAGAAGGCAGCATATACCAAAAGATGCAAAGGTGGTTAACATTCAAAATAAATAATGCAAAACATTCATGTGGGTGGAAAATACAAGAAGAAAATCACACAATCATTTAGATTAAATGTTAAAAAGTATTTCATAAAATTCAATATCTAGTTATAAAAAACTGCTCACAGCATAGTAAAAAATAGCATTTTCCTTATTATGATTAATATTATTTACAATGAGGCTATAAAAAAAATACAATTACCACAAAACATTGAAAACTTTTTCCCTGGGAGTAGAGCTGGACAAGTCTTCCTCTTCTCACTGTCTCTCTTTAACTTTGTCCTGAAGATTTTGTCAATGACATTAAACAACCAAAAGGAAATATCAGATATAAGGGTCAACTTTTAAGCAAAAACAAGTCAGTATGTGGAGATGTCACTTTGTGTACAGAGATAAAATGTCTTAAAAAATTACTTCACCAAAGAAATATGCTTTTAAAAAGTATACTCTGGGGCTGGCGCTGTGGCTCACTAGGTTAATCCTTCTCCTGTGGCGCCAGCATCCCATATGGACTCTGGGTTCTAGTCCCGGTTGCTCCTCTTCCAGTTCAGCTCTTTGCTGTGGCCCAGGAAGGCAGTGGAGGATGGCTCAAATGCTTGGGCGCCTGTACCTACATGGGAGACCAGGAGGAAGCACCTGGCTCCTGGCTTCGGATCAGCGCAGTGTGAAGGCTGTAGCGGCCATTTGGGGGGTGAACCAACAAAAGGAAGACCTTTCTCTCTGTCTTTCTCTCACTGTCTAACTCTACCTGTCAAGTAAAAAAAAAAGTGCATACTCTATATGGTATGTCATGAGGGAAATGTAAATTAAAATAATAGTGAGATACCTCTGTGTACCTGTTAGAATGGCCAAAATCTAGAACACTGATAATGCCAAATGTTGGTGAGGATGGGGAACAAGAAGAACTCTGATTCATTGCTGGTGAGAATGCAATATGGTACAACAACAATGGATGCTCTTTTGGCTGTTTCTTGCAAAACTAAACACACTCTTAACATAGTATCCAGCAATCATACTTCTTAGTATTTACAAAAAAAAAGATGTTGAAAACTTATATCTACATAAGATCTTCATAAGGATCCTTATAGCTGCTTAATTCATAATTGCCAAAATATGGATGCAACCAAAATGTCCCTCAGTAGGTGGCTGGATAAATAAACTGTGCTATGTCCTGACAATGGGATATTTTTCATTATAAAAAATGAATGGAACATCATTCCATGGAAGGACATGGAGGAGAATTAAATATATATTACTAGGCCAGCGCCGCAGCTCACTAGGCTAATCCTCCACCTGCGGTGCCGGCACCCCAGGGTTCTAGTCCTGGTCGGGGCAACAGATTCTGTCCCGGTTATCCCTCTTCCAGGCCAGCTCTCTGCTCTGGCCTGAGACTGCAGTGGAGGATGTCCCAAGTGCTTGGGCCCTGCACCCGCATGGGAGACCAGGAGAAGTACCTGGCTCCTAGCTTCGGATCAGCGGGATACCCTGGCCTGAGCGCGCTGGCCGCAGCGGCCATTGGTGGGTGAACCCACGGCAAAAGGAAGACCTTTCTCTTTGTCTCTCTCTCTCACTGTCCACTCTGCCTTTCTCTCTCTCTCTCTCTATATATATATATATATTACTAAGTGATGTATGCTCATCTGGAAAGGCTACCTGGTGCATAATACGACTGCATGACCTGGAGAACACAAAAATATGAAGAGTAAAAAGATCGATGTTTGGGGGCATTATAGAAGAAGGATAAATAGTAGGAGGCAGAGGGCAATGAGACTACTCCCTATGATAGTACAACTACTTTGTACAACAGTACAGCAGCAGACACTTGTCATTATCAACTGGTCCGAATGCACAGATTGTGTACCAGTAAAAGTCGATCCTAATGTAAATTCTTGGATTGCTCAGCTTCCAATAAATTTCTATTCTTCATAAGCCCCTGGTTTGTGATATTTTGTTACAGCAGCCTGAATGGACTAAGATGTAAACCATAGACTCTGGGTTGTAATGATGTGCCTGTAGAGATTCAGCAGTTGCCTAAACAACAGTGAGGTAGAGGATGGTAAGAGTGGAGGAAGCTATGCATAGGTGTTGGTGTGGGTTCATAGGGGGTCTCTGTGCATGGTGCTCAACTCTGCTGTGAATATCAAACTGCTGTTAAAAGTAAGGTGCTCTAACAATAAGGTCTGAAAAATAAAGTCTGTTCTAAACAAACAGCAAACTAGATAGAGCCTCCAGAGCACCCTTAGTCATTCAGAAAGTCATTCAAATAATTCAGAAAACTCTGAGGAGTGTGTGTGTGTGTGTGTGTGTGTGTGTGCACACATGTGTTCACATTAGTATACATATTTTTGAAGTGTTCCTATGAATATATGTGTCCCTTCCACAATCCATGTTCTACCTTAATCCTCATTGTGGTAAGTGTTAACAGGTGGAATACTTTGAGAAGCAATTAAATCATGAGTGCTCTGCCTTCATGGGTGGATTAACGCCCTGCAAAAAGGATGGAGGGAATTTGTTTATTCCTGTTTTACCCTGTCACCTCTCTGCCATGTGAAGACACAGCGTTTGCTGCCTCTGCAGAGAGAGCACAAGGCACCAGCTCTACAGCAGAAAGCAGACTCACTGGACACTGAACATGCTGCTGCCTTGGTCTTGGACTTCAAGCCCCAAAACTGTGAGAAATATATTTCTATTATTTACAAATGGCTCAGTCCTAGGTATTTTGTCTTAATGGTGTTAACAGACTAAGATGGATAATTGCAGGGGCCAGCGTTTTAGTGAAGCAAGTTAAGCTGCAGCCTGTGACGCTGGCATCTCATGGGCACCGCTTGGAGACCCAGTTGTTCCATTTCCAATCCAGCTCCCTGCTAAAGCACCTAAGAAAAACAGAAGAGGGCCCAAGTGCTTGGGTCCCTGCATCCATATGGGAGTCCCAGAGGAAGCTCCAGGATCCTGGTGTTGGCTTGGTACAGCCATGCTCATTGTGGCCATTTAAGAAATAAGCCAACAGCTGGGAGATCTCTCACGTGCTCACTGTTTCTCTCTCTCTCTCTCCCCTACCTCTCTCTGTATCTCTGCCTTTCAAATAAATGAAAATAAATATTTTTAAAAATAGGTCATGGTAAACCTATGTATGTGAACATAGCTTTTTCCTCTCTGAACACTTAAGAGGGCAAGGGATCACCTGTTGGGGGCGTTAAATAAACCTTGAAAAAATGAACCAATCTCCTGCTTCTTGAAAGATTATTAAAGATCTCCTAGTAAGAAAATATCTAGGATTGTTCTATCCTATTATTTATATGGAACATAAATGTTTATTGATAGTGCTACTTCAGATGGCTATAAAACTGGATTTTGCCAGGAAAAGTGACCACGGGAGAAATAATTGCTCTCTGAAGAAAGGGATATGGAAGAATAAGATCTCCCCTTGTGACATTAATGTGGTAGTAATACACGCAGCAACTGGAAATGTACTTGAGTACCTGGAGCACCTGTCATCTTTTTTTGAGGAATATGTGTGTGTAACATAGGTGTGTTTCATGCAGTGTGTGTGTGTGTGTGTGTGTGTGTACATACAGGGGTAAGGGCTAGGAGACTGGGAATAAGAGGTTACAGAAATTATATAAGGTATAAGGATATACAATACTTACTCCAGCTTTCTATTTATTTAAAAGCTTCTTTTATATTTAAAGAATTTATCTTGTTGGATCATAGAATTACAGGCATACTGTAAAAATTTGAAAAGGATTCTGATTTTATCTCTTTCTCCTTTTAACATATTATTTAAATTCTTGTTCTAGCTTCCTCACATATTTTTTGCATTGCTTTCCCCCACAACATGTGTACTAATTTACATTTTTCTTACAGATAGTATAAGTATTTTTCACATTGCTAAATCATGTTCATTACCACTCATTTTCATCTTTATGTAGCTGTGTAAGATTGAATGTAAACATTGATGTAATCATCATCCTACTATTGGAGTCTAAAGGTTTTCACTTTTTTCTTTGAAAAATATTGCCTGATGACTACCTAAGTACCTAATGCTTTTGTCACATTTTGTTTTCTCTCTTTTTGAGATTTACATAATGTAATTACTGGTTAAAGAATTTGAATATGTGCTGTGGACATTTGATGCAGCAATGAAGACGCTGTTTGGGACACTGGCATCCCATATCGGAGTCTCTGAGTTCAAGTCCTGCTCCACTCCTGATTCTGGCTTTTTGGAAGGCATCAGATGATGGTTCAAGTGGCCCTGGCCATCCCTGTGGGAAACCTAATTGAATTCTTGGCTCTTGGCTTCAGCTTGACCCAGCCCCAGATGTTGTGAACATGTGTGGAGTGAACCAGCAGATGGGATATTTTTCTCTCTCCATCTCCCTCTATGTCTCTTTCAAGGTAAACTGAATTTTATATACATATATATATATTCATGTTATATATAAAAATTCATTTTATTTATAACAAATCATTATATAATATAAATTCATATATATAAATGCATTTGTTTTAAAGGAAGAAAATAGATATTTTCATGGTTAAATACAGCTTTCTGAGACCTAATTTTCAGAAGAAATAAATGTTCAGACTTTTATCAATGTGCCCTTCTAAATTCTCACTATTCAGACCCAGATCCTATCACCGATGCCCCTTTCAAAAAATGTAGTACCTCACTGGGGGTGTGGAAATTGAGGAGCCTTGTGTTTCCTAAACCCAGCATAGTTAAACAGAAGTCTTAATCATCACACTTCTTAAAGAGCCTCAACTACAAGCAAAGCCAAACAGGTTCTACCCTTTATTTATCTTGCTTCCACATGTAGAGAATAAAGCTTCACCTTCTTCATGACCCTGACTCGGAGCTCAACATGGATGTGGCGCTCATGAGGGAGTGGGAATTGCAGACAGCTCACCTATTTCTAAGCAAGCAGTACAGGAGAGGCCCGGGACTGAACCGAAGGGATGCATGAAAAATAGCTTAAATATTAAGCAGCTACTGCCTGTCATTCTGGTCTGAGAGAAGAAAATACATAAATAAAAATTAAATAAGAGAAAGAGGCTAAAAATAAAATCAGATGAAGCGAATGAAACTGAAACTTTGAATATAAATACAATTATACATCTTTGGGCGAAATCCATAACCAGTTTTCGGCAATGCCCACCTGACTTACTCATTGAATTGCGAAATGAGAGAATATAAATCAGAGTTGACAACGAGGTCTTATTTCCCTCTTTAGAGGTTTTAACTGAATAATAAATCATATAGCTCCCGCATCATGGACCTCTTAGGATTCAGTTCCACTCTCCTTGTTGGTGCCTACAAACAATAATTCCTACTACGGGACACAGGTGGAGAGCAGACACCCTTCCACAGGCCATCTCCACCCATCCTAATTAAGCAGGTCAGGAAGAGGGGAAAAGATGGGTTTATTCCACCTGGGAGGCACAGACCTGCCTGTTCATCTGAAAAGAACCAGTGTTTCAGTGCTATCTCAGGTTGCTATCAAATTATTTTTCAAACACAATTTCCTTTTGTTAAGTACTACCTGTAACACGTGAGTATCTGTTAAAAATTCAAGCACTCAGATACATACAGAACAATGAATTATAGCTTGAGTTCATCCTGCCCTCTGGTCTCCCCAGCTGTCCCAGAATCAACTACATTAACATAATTCACCATATAAACATCCAGCATCTTTCTCTCTTTGCCTTTACTATATATGTGCATGTATTTTTAACTAAGTATATACATTATACATATACACAAACATATAATTTAGTTTTTAAATAAATAGTAGTACGCTGTACGTATTATGTGACCTCATAGTTTTTTTGTTTCACTATTCACATATTTTGCAAAGGTTCCTTTAAACCATAGGTATATGCACATAAACATATATACGTATTGCTGTTTCACTCTGTTTAAATGCAGCATTGCATTTTTACTTATACTTGTAATTTACTTAATAATTTATTATTGAAGACCAGTTAGATGATTTTCAGATTTTTACTTTAAGAAGCAATACTGCAGTAAAACACCTGTGTGTGTGTGTGTGTGTGTGTGTGTAATCATGTCATTAGGATAGATTTCAGGAAGTAAAATAGCCATGTCAATTTGGTTTGCACATTTAAAATCTGATAAACCTTGCCAAATTGTTTTCCACAGTATAGAAGAGTAGCACTTTTCTCCCACACTTGCCAATACTGTACCTCATAAGTATATTTGCAAAATTATGGTCAAAACCATTTGCCTCTGCTCATTTATATTATATCCCTAAATATTAATGAGACTGAATATCTTTTAAAGTATTTCTTGACCAAAATACATTTATTTTTACATGAATTTTTATTATATTTTTTCCTAGTTTATTTTTCCTTTTCTCTGAGTTGTCTTTCTTATTGATTTTTGATGAACATACACATATATGATTTTTGAAAAGTTTCTTGCACTTTGGTTAAATTTATTTACCCACCAGAATAATAGTGCAGCAGATTACAGTGCCAGCATTCCATATTGGAGTGATGATTCAAGTCCTGGCAGCTCCACTTTTTTTTTTTTAAGATTTATTTTATTTATTTGAAAGACAGAGTTACAGAGAGAGAGGTCTTCCATCTGCTGGTTCACTCCCCAGATGGCCACAATGGCCAGAGCTGCACTGATTCGAAGCCAGGATCCAGGAGCTTCCTCTGGGTCTCCTATGTGGGTGCAGGGGCCCAAGGACTTGGGCCATCTTCTACTGCTATCCCAGGCCATAGCAGAGGGCAGCTCCACTTCTAACCCACCACTCCACTAATGCATCTTGGAAAGCAGTGGAAGTCAATCCATCTGTTTGAGATTCTTTCACCCCCATAGGAAACTTGGATGGAGTTCTGGGCTCATTACTTAGGCCTTGCCCAGCTCAGGCTATTGTGGCCATTTGGGGAGTGAACCAACTGATGGAAGATTGATCTCTCTCTCTCTCTCTCTTGCTGTTTTCCTCTTTCCATTTCTCTGATCTTCAAATAAATAAAATTAATTTTAAAATTATTTTAATTTTTTGATGATTGTGACATACTAGGAAGAGAGTGGTAGAAATGATGAGTGAGAAAAGAGACATAGGGGCCGGCACTGTGGCTCACTTGGTTAATCCTCCACCTGCTGCACTGGCATCCTATATGGGCGCCAGGTACTAGTCCGGGTTGCTCCTCTTCCAGTCCAACTCTTTGCTGTGGCCCTAGAAGTGGAGGATGGCCCAAGTGCTTGGGTCCTGCACCCATATGGGAGACCAGGAGGAAGCACCTGGCTCCTGGCTTCGGATCGGCGCAGCGCACTGGCTGTAGCGGCCATTTGGGGAGTGAACCAATGGAAGGAAGACCTTTCTCTCTGTCTCTCTCTCACTGTGTACCTCTATCTGTCAAATAAATTAAAAAAAAAAAAAGAAAAAAGACATCATTTATGTTATCTTCTTATTACCAGTGTCTTTATGCAAATGAGTTTCCTTATAGCTCAGAAAAACAGAAAGCATTTTGTGACATTGAAGAAGGATTATGAAATGTAAGTTTTAATAATTAAATGAGAATACATATACAGCCACTGATATTAGGTATGTTCATATATTTGTTTCACTTCTTTCATGACTTGATGTCCAGTTCCACCATTCATCTTACTGAATTCTTCTCAGCATACATTTCTTTGAAATAAAATGTAATGCTTTCCTCACCTGCATATTCCTCTTTGTTTGCTGTAAATATGAAATGTGTGAATTCACAATTCAAATGCTTCCATCACTCTCAGTTCCCCTTCTCTGTGGTGATTTAGGTCATTTTGCAGCCATATGGGGGATGCTGCTGTCTGAGGATAGAGGGGCTATGTCAGAGACAGTCTAAGATGGTCCCTACCCATTCCACCTTTTGGTAGACTCATCTTGTATAATACCCCCTGTTGAGTACCGGCCAGACCTGGGACTTACCTCTAGCAATGGAATGTGGCAGAGCTGATGGGTATCACTTCTGTGATGGACAGAAGGCTGAGATTTGCCTTGTCACTAGAGTCTCCCTATTGACTTTCTCTCTCTCTCTCTCTCTCTCTCTCTCTCTCTCTCTCTCTCGGTGGTTTTGATGGAGTAAGTAGCCACGTGGAGAGAGGTGTACATGGAAAAAACTGAGGTTGGCCTCTGACCAACAGCCCCCAATGAGTAGGTACCTTCAGTCCAATAATCTGCAAGAAAATGTAACCTACCCCAAACCACATGTATTCAGCAGCAGCCCCTTCTCCAAGTGAACCCTAGATGAAATCTTCATGGCATTTGACACTATGATGGCAGTCTTGTAATAGAACCAGAACCAGAGGACCCAGTTACACTTTGCCAGGATTTCTCAGCCCACAGAAAGAATGGGAAAACCAATCTATTGTTGTAAGCTGTTAGGCTTGTGGTGGCTTGTTATGCGGCCATATAAACTGCAGGGATTGTAACAAAAACCCTAATAAGGTTGCTTCTCTGACTCTTGTAAGGAAACCAACATTTGCAACACAGATACCAGAGTGTGTTCTTGGATTACTTTGTAAAAGGGAAGTGGGGAATGGGCTTTAGAGGAATAGGTCCTTGAAGATTATAGAGGGAAAAATACACACACACACACACACACACACACACACACACAGAATGCAGGATTCAGTCCATAGCATATCGATTCTTCCTCTGGCCCTCCACCTGAAGGGTGCAGTCAGAGGGCCAATTGAATGCTCTTCTGAGGATCCTTGATGCTGCTCTGTTCGTACTTCAATGACTGCTTTAAACCTTTTCTGAGGACCTTAAGCTTGGATTCCTGGTGCTTACTTGATCTCTTTGCAAAAAGTCCTGATTCTTACATAGCCATGATCAAGTTCTATTCATGTATGTCCTTTCAACTTCTCTGCATCCATATCTTTTACTTTCTTCATATAAGCTTTCTTTCCTTCATTTTCTTTAGGGCTCAGCACCATTCCTCATGTCTTTATTCCACTCCCTCCAGCTTGTTGCTTTGCTGATCTTAATACAACAATTAGCCACTCTCTTTAAAGCTGAGTAGTACATTCTTCAAAGATTCTTTACCACCAACAAATATTATTTCCTCTTAGCATTCAAAAATAAATATGGAACAGTTCCACCTTCAAACAGGAGCACATCAAAGAACAATAACAGGACCAGTCACTCTTCTTCAATTCACTGCCTACTTAACTACCCAGAAAAAAAAGCTGCAGTTAGGTTGTTAGGGCTGTTTATCAGAAAACCAAAATTTAGAGGGCAAATAGATTTTAAAAAGAAAATGTAAGCAAAATCTTTTTTCTTCTGTAGTAAAAGTCCTCAATTTCTTCTCTATCTTCCGTCTGACCCAAGGGTCAGTCCCTTGTCCACGGGCCAAGATGCATAAAGATCAACTCG